GTAGTAAAAAAAAAATCAACAACAAAAAAAACACACAATTTTTTTTTTTTACTTGGGCCTGCAAGCCACTTGCTGCAGGCTACATTTTGTCAAATAAGTGACTCATGTATCTTGACACAGGTACATATCAGCTGACATTATATTCTAGCATCTTTAAAAAAGTGGCCAGGAAGCACTAATTCATGTTATCAAGGCAAAGTGCATTAGTTATACTAAGACTTGGGGAGCATTTCTTGCAAAATAAAACATTATCATTCATTCAAAAAAAAACACATAGAGCCTTGGTGCTAACAGACATCATTTTTCTATCTTTCCCCTCTCACTTACTAAGTTGTGATTCTGCATGTACACAGCACCTTGATTTGTTTAAATTGCATGGATTCTAGGCTGTTTTGTAAATTTCAAGTCTGCATTATGCACGTTTTAATGAAGAATGAACTATGATTTCTGGGGAGAGCTCAGCCTTGTCGCACTTCCAGATGTGCACCTGGTCCTTTATTATGTCTCCCACAAAAAGCTGGTGGGTAGCTTTCTGATGGCACCTTGTTAATGAATCAAGATACAATAAGGTGTATATTGGAAAAAAAGGAGTCGAATCGTAATTATGATTATGTGACAAAATAGCTTAAAAGTGGAAAATAAACCAGAAGCCTAGCTGCTGAAATGTGAACATTGTGTTTCTCTTTAATTTGCTGCTGTCTTGGAACCTGGCTGCTTATGCAACGCTTTCACCTTCTGTTGCTTGTCTAAGTGCCAACTTCTTTCCCAAAGGTGTTCAGTGACTAATGCTTTGGTTACATGCCAGAATATTTTATAAATGTCTGTTTCTAGGCAGCTCTTGTACAAGTCTTAATTAAACTTTAATGTCAGGCTGAAGTTTACTTTTAGAGCCTCCTAGGCTCCTTTCCTTGTAGCATGATTAGAGAACAGCGGGGGGAACGTATGGCAGCCGTGCTCCTGCGCATTTCTTCTCCGTCGCCTAACACGGTGCCACCACGCAGGTGCGCACTTATGTGACACGGAGGTTTACAACACAGGGATGAGTAAATCGCAGCCATCCCCTAAAACACACGATCACCGAGCCACATTTTTCCATCCTGAAACGATAGCCGTGTTTTAGAATGACTGCTTTGTTAGTTATTGCATATCCTTCCTGAAACATCCAACTCCGCAAGCCCAGGGATCAGGAGCTAGAGGCTACGTATGGGCACGTTCTTCATTCTTGTCTCCTTGATGTCTCAAGTACCAGCCAAGGGAGCTGTGAGGACTGGGCGATCATTTTCCCTGTTTCCCAAGCTGTTTGAAATGAGCCTCTGTTGTTGTCAGAATAATGCAGAGTAGATTTTAAATATAGTAATATTATTTTGTATGCTTATTTTGAAACTAATTATACTTACTTATCCATCAGATTGCTCTATGGCAGAAGCTGGCAAACTTTTTCCATACAGGGCCAGATAGTAAATGTTTTAGGCTTTGTGGGGCAGAGATCTCTCTCAACTATTCAATTCTGCTGGCATCTGTGGGGTAAAAGCGGCCACAGAGGAATGAGCATGGCTGCCTTCCATTAAGCCTCTATTTACAAAACCAGGCAGAGGTCTGAACTGGGCCTTCAGGCAGCAGTTTTAGAACCTCTAGACTATAGCATGCTTGCTTTTTATATGACAATTCTGTAATAGATCTTTATTTTTGGTTATTTAAATATGGTTCCTTATGGTATATATTGTTATTTAAATACAGTTTGTTAGTATAATTTAAGCTGGTTGCTAAAATAAGCCAAGATTTAGCAATTTTAAAGAATTAATTCTGGGTTAAAAAGCCATAAGGATCTGCTCATAGACAGACATATGTTCACCAAAAGACAATAATAGAGCCAAACTGGAAATTCCAGTGATAGTTGAGCTGATAAATACAATGTGAGTGGATAAATAAAATGTGTATTTACAAAATGGACTATGTACACCAATGAGAATGAGCAATTTACAAGTACATGCGCCAATTAAGGGTATAATTCATGCTAACTAAGGTTCAATTGTGAAATGTTCAGACCTTTTTTTTAAATTTTATTTTCCAATTACAGCTGACATTAATATTATTTTATATTCATTTCAGGTGTACAGCATAGTGGTTATACAATCATAATTTACAAAGTGATCCCCCTAATATTTCACTAAAAAGAATTAAATCAGACCTTTTTGTATTTAAAAGTAATTTTTTAAAAATGTTTATTCATTCAACCTAAATCAACAGAATAGTAGAAAAGCAAAAAGCAACATGCCTTTGCTACTCTCAGACAAAAATGATTCCCTGCCCCTGGGTTCACAGAGCTCTTCATCCATAACTCTTTCCCATGTATTTATAATATTTGTTTGCATTTGTGTATAGAGCTTTACTCTCTAAGCTCTACAAAGGTGGGATTTAGAAAAAAAAACTTTGTGTCAGGGAGTCATGATCATAGTACCTGATTTATTATACAGGATCTGTCAATCATACTCAATCTGTAATTCATGAATCTTCCTTCAAGTAATGCTTAAAAACATAAAATTTTAAACTTGCTCTTAAATTCTGTCCTTAAAATACTCATTGTCTTAAATTAATTCACAAATAAACATTAAATGCCTACTATGTGTAATACTAAACTATTTCAGGAAATTGTTTACTCAAACACTAATCTTCTAGTGGATGTTGAATAGAATGGTATGATGTAAACATCATTAAAGAAACTTTCTAAACTCTAAAGTGAATGTTTTGTTTACCTTTCATATAGTTAGGATTATTCTCATCTGATATTTTGCTTTGGGTCACATCCTTCTCTGGTTAAACTACTTATCCTAAATTCTTGAATAGCCATGAACATCTAACTTGGAGGAAAGCTTATAGAATTATGCTGTAACAGAAGTTTTCTTTAGCATTCAGCTCTTCTAATTCTCTTATTGGTAAAGAGAAAGGGCTGTGTAGACAGAGGTTTGCATTTGCTTTGAGACTTTAAAACATTCTAGCTGTGAGAGACCTTGAATAAATTCCTGAAACCTCAGGTGCCTCATATATAAATGTGTTGTTCTGAGGATTCCATGGAATGTGCATGACCCAAATAGCCACTGAATAGTAGTTACTATTACAGATGAGATGACTGAGGCTTAAAAATGTTAAATAAGTGCACACATACCCCAGAAGAACGGGGGCCAGAGCCAGAACTTGATCTCACTCGTGTATCTCGATTTGCAGCCATATTTTCTTTCCAGTTCATAGCACGGTGGAGCACTTCTGGAATTCTATTAATTTGGTCTCGTTATTAATAGAGGTGATCGGCCTGTCCTATGAGATGAACTGTACTCAAATAGATTTTAGTTGGAGTCACTTGCTGGGAATAGCAGTCCTTTCTTATGCTGTGTTCACTTCCACCAAAACACCTTCTATTTTGGTGGAAATACTCTCCCTGTTCTCCATTTCTTTCAGTTCTCCCCATTTCCCCCTCTGGTTTGGGAAGCAGCTAATTCAATGTCGATTCAAGAGTAAGGAAAGGAAAAAATACTTTGCTTTTAGAAGTGTATTGCAAAATAATGAGAGAAATGTTAAAATTATAGAAGCAAGATATTAAGCAGAAAAGAAGTATAACAGAAATATAACTAATGAAAAAACTGTCCTCAGGTAATAGCTGACCAAAGTTATTTGAACTATGGGAAACTGAGTCCTTTTCAAAGTAAATTTGCATCTACTTGCATGTGGCCATTTCCCTCTGGTTGTTTTTTCAAATTCGTATTTTATGTTAGGGATAAGTAAATGAAGAGATGGGATTTTTATTTCCCAAAATAAGAACTAAATCGTATTACTTAACTTTTAGGCCACACGAAAATAAAACCTATCTCCCTATTGGAAGTATGAAGACAGTAATGCTGAATGTGTCCTTATTTAATGCTGGAGATGATGCATATGACACAACTCTCCATATCAAACTACCCACTGGCCTTTACTTCATTAATATTTTAGATCTGGTAAGTATTGAAAACCACAATAGCATAATACTACATGATGTTTTACTTAATTTTTTAAAAAATGTAAATGGTATCATTCACTTCATCAATTCGAGGTCTAAATATCTGGAGTTTCGTTAGACTCAGCACTCAGGCTTCCCAGTGATTTTAAGACTTTCTTCATGCCCCTGATCAAAATGACAAGTTCCTTGGGACCTGACTGAGATCAAAAGAGTCAGCTTCCTATTTCCAAGAAACAACTGTCCAGTTATCCAAGCGAGCTGCTTGGGTGCCTTTGTTTTCTCACTGGTACATCTCTCTGGTGCTTGACACTGCTGCTCCTCTTGGTTAGGTCCCTGCCCCAGCAATATTGGTCCTCCCTGCTGGACTCCCAGAGTGATCGCTCTGAACTTGAAGTTCATACACCCAGGCTTGCTCCCAAAGGACCTCCAACATGGTACAAATCCAAAATTCTGGTGTCAACCAGATTGTAGGCATGTTTCTCCTTCCCTGGAGGGGTGTGAAGCACCTGGGGAGACCTTTTCTTACCTCTGTGCCTCAGTAGTGAGCACTTAAATCCACCAGTGAGGGTTGAATTTCAAAGACAAAAGCCTCACTTGCTGTCTCCTTTGGTGCTTCTCTACTCCTTAGCAAATTTCCCCAGATCCCATCCAGAGACCATTTCCTCATATTAAGGGCATTTAGAGAGGCTTTGACCTCTCAGTAATATCTATTACCCCCTCTCTCTAGAGCATTAAGAGCCTGTTGCACTAGTAAGAGGGAAAACAAATATTCAGGGAAATCCTATCTATACAAATACATATAGAGCTGTGTATCTCCCTGAAATATTTGAATACATATGTATGTGTGTGTATAGATACTAGTATGATTCCAGTTATTGCAATGATATACCTTAAACACATTCTCACATCCCACTCAGAAGAGGGATGTGAAACACAGACCTTACGAGTTCCTTGCCTCATGCTTTTGCAAGGAACTGGACCTTGAGTTAAACAGCGGATACACAAACATGGAGGAAAGCCACAAGTCCACGAATTATTCTGTGGAAAATTTACATGAATATTAGAATAAACCTATACACATATATATATATATTTATATCATTTGTTTATATTTCTATTTATTCCCAAAATAGCTGTCTAGGAAAGTGAATTCTTCGATGTTTTTTTCAAAACCCATCCTTATACATGGGTTACAAACTTCCTGTTCCCTTTTCTACCTAAACCAATTGATTTTATTTTTCTAATTTTTTTTAGGAAGAGAAGCAGATAAATTGTGAAGTATCAGACATATCTGGCGTAGTAAAAATTGACTGCAATGTTGGTTATATATATGTAGCTCATCTCTCAAGGGTAAGCATTTAGCATTTATAATTTTTGTTTACTAGCATGGATATAAAATTTTTCAATTTTTCTTATGTTTATGCTGCATACAAATATATAACATTATTATTATTATTTGAATAGGGTAAATAGCTAAGTGATAAAAACAAAACCAGCTGGGCTTGTGACCTTTGAGACTGTGTTTATATTCTTGGCAATGTTCACTGTAAAAGGGGGGGCACACATTTATGTCAAGACGGGCATGTGAATGTGTCAATCAGAATTCCGTTCCCTGTCTCACTCCCCCCAACACTTCCCCCCCCCTCCCCCGGTGGTCCTATCTGCCAGGCATGTAACCTCTGTTATACAAGAAGGTGTCTCTGGCAAGAGTCCTCCCTCAAGTTGTTAAAGCACCTCTGATTCTGTCAGTCTAGACCTGCCTGTCTTTCCATTCAGAGGAGGCTTTGTCTCTGGATGTCACTTGTGGAAATGCTGGCATTTTAAAATCGCCATAAACCCAACAGCTTCCCAGTAACTCACTGCCAGAGTCAGGGATACCCTGTTTCTAGAACATAGTTTCAAATCTGCATTCCACAGGGTATAAACTATTAAGAAAAATTAAAATTCAGATGGTAAAATGTGTCCTTTAGATTATTTCTGTAAATGAGCTTTCCTTGTCTGTGTTGGCAGGTAGACCTCAGCATTCTCCTGGATGTGAGCGAGATCAGCAGAGCAGAGGAGGACCTCAACATCACAGTGCACGCCTCCTGGTATATTTCATAGTGAAAAGCATAATTATGCTGAAGGAAACAGACCCCTGGCTTTTTTCAGAGGGGACCTTAGGGGAACCATGGAGTTGTGTCCCATTGTCTGCAGGGGAAATTTTCTCTTACATGACCTGGGAAACTAACAAACCTTTAACCAACACAGAAGAAAATAACTGTAAATAATGAGAGCAAATTTCTGCCACCCGTCATAAAACTTTCTTACCATCACATCCACTTTTAGCCCCACTCCCCTAAAAGCATTCTTTCAGCCAACCTCTAAATTCATCAGGTATACATGGTATAGAATTAGTTCTCTCTGAAGATGATTTTTGTGCCGGATGGATTCTAACACGTTTTCTGTTTGCTTCTGTAGCGAAAACGAAGGGGAGATGGACCATCTGCAGCGTAACAAAGTGACTGTAGCAATACCTCTGAAGTACGAAGTCATGCTGGCTGTGTACGGGTAAGTAGCTATCGAGGCCTCCTCTGAAGCCGAGAGCTGATTTTAAATTCCATTGCTGCGTACTTACTAGTCAAAACCATATTTTAAAAAACCTTTTTTTACGATTCTGTGCCATTTCTTTCCCTTAACAATTACCTTGGCATTGTAGTCCCTTGCCCAGCTGTTCATTATTTTATTCCAGCCTGTAATTGTCACGCTGAGACCACATCAAACCAGTGCCCAGCTGGAGGAATTTCCTACTGGGAGAGCCTCTAGCAGGCCATGTCCAGCCTTCCAGTTGTACGCAGCCCAGGCCAGGACCTGGGCGTTGGGCAGTGCACAGTTTGCTTGGCAAGTGTGAAGTTTAAAGAATTACTAGCTTCACCAAATCACTACTCTTTAGAACCTGTGCCTACCTATGTGGCAGGTGGCTGCACCGTGTCCCTTTTCCGCTCTTTGTAACTATGAATCACAGTTCCTCACCCACAGCCCCAGAGCCAGTATTCACTGATTGCTCATCATTTTAGTAATTGTTTACATGGCTCCAACTCTGATTCAAGGAGGACCTGTATGGAGAAAGAATGAGAAGAATTAAGAAAACCTTTAATGATTTTTTGGGAAATTATTTAGGCTATTGATCTTTGTTTAAAAACACATTTTTAAAGCAATTGAAGATACATACGGAATAGACAAATGAGCTTTCCTTGTTGCTCTAAATAGAAACCATCCCCAATCATTTTTAACCACCCATAAAGATGGCATATAATTATATAAAAATAAAACATCAGTGTCTGAAACTGATGAAACAGAGTATCAAGCTTGTGAGATATAAAAATCAGGGGGTAAAGGCAGCCATTCAACAGAGATGAAGACCTAGAAAGTCGGTGGGAAGCAAAGAAAAGCAGTTGCGTGTTTTCTGGTTTTGAATGTTGTCTCTCCCGCCCTCCCTGATTTTCCTGTAATGAGTTCCCTCCCTTTTTTTTCGTTACCCACATCTTATTGTTTTGAGCAAGGACTGTTCTGCAACTATTAAGCTGCCTAGTCTGCATTTGAACATTTCTAATTTCTTTCCTGGGTAATGGGTCCCTAATTTGCATTACCTCACATCAGCTGCCAAATATGAGCATCTTGTTGAGTCAGGATTTCCCTAGAAAAGTATTTTCTTACATACCATACATATGTATAAATCACAGGTCAAAAAAGGGTAACAACTTAGTATTCTAACAAAAATTTCACCATACTTACTGGTGTTTGAATTGTCCCAGATTTGGGGTTCATTACAAATAGCAGGAATTAGGGGAGGGGAGAAAATAAAGATAGGTGAGAGAGACTGAAGCATAGGAGGGTATTAAAGTCCTAAGGAAAGCTAAGAAGTTATCTCCTATTTGCAAGATTTACATAAGTCAGTAGAATGAGCCAGGCAGTACTGGGAAGGCAAGCAAAGGATATTGTGGGAAGAAATATAAATTGTCACCCAAGTCAGAGCACATGGTTTTCTAATTTCATTACATTTTTACTAAAATTATTATCTTACCAAGAAACCAAAAGTATTTGATTGTGCTTAAGGAGGCATCTATTGTTTGAATTATAGCATTTTTAAGAGATATGCTATCATGCAGACTGTAGAGACACACTGTTTATAACACCTCATCAAAAAAGACAGCTAACCAAGTTCAAGTAGACTATACAAATCTCGAGTGGGGCCATGTGTCTTAGGAATATTAGCATCCTTGCACCCAGCACAACCTGGCACCTAGTACACGCCCATATACACTTTGTAAATAAATGAGATTGTAATGCTGAAAAAAGATAAAATTAAATTTGAATTTGTTTCTATCAGGTTTGTAACCCCAAGTTCATTTGTGTATGGCTCAAAGGAGGACGAGCCTGAAAAGTGCATGGCAGAGAAAATGAACATCACTTTCCATGTAAGAAAAGTTGCTTGTGTTGATGTTTGTAACAGACTGAAAGTGTTACTGACGCATCGCGATGTCCCCCAGCCTTGGGCCCCGCACAGCTTGCCGAGGGAAGGAGCTGTCACATGGTACCCCCGCCCTTTCCTCTCGGGCTGCTGCTCCTTTCCTCCCACTGTCCTTGTCCCTGCTACTCAGGCCCACGTCTCCTTACACTACAGGTGGGAATGAGCAAGAAAGAACAGAGGTAATGCCCGAAACGAGCGAAATTACGGGAGGAAGAGAATCTGCTAGAGATGCCTACAGAAGACAGGATAGGCCAAGGGGAGGCATGTCTAGGTGCAAATCAGTGAGCTCTCTTCTTGGCTGAAGCTTTATAAAAGCCCTAAAACAACCAAGTCGAGTCAGCTCTTACCTCCCGTATCTCCATTTAAGGTCTACTTTGTCAGCCTTTCAGGCCATAGGTATATGACCTGTAACAAGTGGTGCAACATGTATTCAATAATCTTTTTAAAAAGTAAATAGTAGTGTCATTATCCAGAAATATTAATATACTTATATAAAGACAAATTTAAAAAGTTTTATTTACTATCAACAGATTTTTGGCTCATCGTGAATGCTGATTAGTAAATAATTAGAGATAATGTCCACACAAAAAATTTTTGAACCAAAAGCACTGCCCAAATATTCTTAGAGCTGTATAACAATATGTGGAATGAGTGTCAGGATTTAGGTGCATTATGGTATTTTATAAGGCAATGCTTTTCAAAATGCATATCAGAATCACTTTGGGTGCTTATCCAAAATGCAAATTCCTAGGCTCTACCCCAGATCTGTGGGAGAATGACCTTGAAATTCTATTGTCTGTATATTCAAGATTTTGTTACATTAGTATACAGTCGTATTGAGAAAATGGAGCCTTCTACTTTGAAGTTCCAAGAAATGGTCCTGTAGGTTTGGTGAGTCCGTCCAAGTATGACTATGTTCTTGGAGGTCTGTGTTATTAGGTGAGCAAGGATGGAAGATATTGTAGATTAGAAGGCTTATTTGCAGGCATCAGGCGGACCTTGTCTAAAGGTCTGGGTGCTGCTGGTTAGCTGTCACTGACATTGCCTTTGAAACTGCCCTGTGCTTGCATGGCTGAGCAATTACCACCTGTCCCCAAGTCAGGGACACTCTTTGATTTATATCATATGCATTCAAAAAAGTATTGCAAGTCTGTGAGTCATATTTCATTCAGGTATTGTGGCACATCTGTTTTCTGACTTTCTGTATTTTTATAGTTAAGCTCTCAGGAGGCAATATTTTGGTCCAATTTCCTTTTACAGGGGTCTACAATCCCCAAATTTATCAGCCATAATGAAATATCACTCCCTGATGCATATTTTTTAAAAACCTATTGCATTTTTTCTAAAACCCAATAACCTACCCCTTTCTGATTTTCTGAGTGCATCAGCATTATAATCATCCTGAATTAAAATACATTTTTATTCACTTACTGCTGATATCCCCACTGCACAGAGTAATTCTGGGAAAACATCCTAGGATTTAGAATTAGAATATCTGGGTTTTGTCCCAATTTCTGTCACTTTTATCTTGGGCACATCATTCACTAATACCTCTTAGCATTTTCTTGAACTGGCAAATAAATGTTGCCCCATGTCATGGGATAGTTATGAGGACCAATCGATCATGGCTTTTTAGATATAGAATGTGCCATACCAATACACATTGTAGATCTCTTTCTTTAGAGTATGTCTACATTAAAACATCTGCCTGGACATTCTGGACCAATTAATAACAAAAGGAGAGCGCTGGGAATAATGACTAAAGGTTATAATTATTAGCAAACTTTTTAAAGTTCTCACTACAAATATTCTGCGTCCCTTTGCTGTGCAGCTGCCAACTACAAACCTCTACCATTATAGTGTTGCGTGAAGCATATGGGTTCACCCAAGAGCTCATTTATATCTGTACTTATATTAATGAAAACATTTAGAAGTTGTTTAAAACTTTTTTTCTCTTATCAGGTTATCAACACTGGCTATAGCATGGCTCCCAATGTTAGTGTGGAAATCATGGTACCAAATTCTTTTACCCCCCAAACTGATAAGTTGTTCAACATTTTGGATGTCCAGGTAAAAAATGGGTTCCTTCCTTTATTGTAAGTAAAACTGCTAAAATGGAGATTTCTGTTCACTTATTTCATACACATTCTCAGCCATGAATTCACCCTGCATTCATTGAGTACACCCTGAATTATGCATTGCATTAGAACTGTAGGATCACAGTGGAAACTCTGCATTTGATGTATACAATGACAGAATTATGCTCAAATATCTTTCAGTACATTTTCTATCTTCAGTACATTTTCTTTGTGACACGGACCTATGGAAGTAATTTAACTGGTAGGATTCGCCATAAAACTTGAGACCACTGTTGGGGGGGAAAATTTAGTATTTCAGCCTTTTTAAGGAAAGAATATTCAAATCACAACTTAAAAATAAATATTATGTTGATGATTCCATCAGAATTGTTTTTACTGTCTCTGTTTCAAGACAAGCAATTAATCAATAAGCCTACTAAGTAGGTTTGAGATCTAAGTTTTAAAAATCTTACCTGAATTTCAAATTCAGATGGTTGGACACATGGTGTTATAACACATGATTTTGTTTCATGTCTAAAATCCCAAGAAATGTTGAATTTCATGCTAATGTTCAAATGTCCATTTTTTGGACACTGCCCTAATTTCTGTAAGGTTAAGGCCATTTGATCAATTTAGGACCTATATCCAACCCTCTAAAATTTTGCTGAGTTTTTGTTTGTGTTTTTGCTGCAGAGATTTAATCTTTCCCAAATAAATCTGTCAAAAATATTTTCACACTTTCATCAGTACCTGATATATTTTAGAATAGGTAAGCAAGCAATTGGAACTTTTTTTTTTTTTTTAGCTTTTAAAACCATGTAGCTTTCGTTTTTTCCAATATTGAATTATAATATTTTTCTCTCTTTCTTTATAGACTAGTGCAGGAGAATGCCATTTTAAAAATTATCCAAGGATGTGTACATCAGAGCAGGAAAAAGGCACAATGGAGGCTCTGAAAGACATGTTTAAATTCTTCTCGAAGTCTGATAAGAGGCAACTGGTAAGTTTGTTTTTCATGGCAGTTTTTGTTTTCCAACATACAGAACTGAAACACTGCAAACCAGGCCTTGATGGCCTTTGAGCTGGTGTGTGAGAGAAAAACAAGTTCAGATAATATTCTTCCACGTGAGGAAAAGACATGATTGGAAATCTTAGACTCGGGGTTGAATATATACGTTTTCATTATTTATCTAACAGAGGCCCATTTTGTGCCAGCCAGACATTTCTCCATACCCTTTTCAGTTGAGCAGCCTTTATGAAATTAGATTAATTCTGACTCTTTTCACTTTAGTGACTTTATGAAAAAAACAACAAAAACTGAAGAAGCAATCTAACCCTTCAAATTATTCAAGTTTTACAATAAACATAGACCATCCAGCTTAGCAAGATTCTCATTTGGAGTCTTTCTTTTATATCTCTCCTAGAAGGTTAAGTTCATAAGAACACATGCTCCAGTTCAAATACTTTGTTTCTGTTGTAATTTATAAAACAAACATTTGCTTTGTTTAAAGTAAGATTTTTTAAAATGCCACTAACAAAAGCAGATCTTTAATTCCATGTTTATAGCAAGATAATTTTTATAAATACGACTAAGGAGAGCAGACTTTTAATTCCATATAAAATATTACCCATCTTTTGAAAAAATGTTGAAATTTTAATGTAGCTTTTTATATTATTTTCAAGTACTGCATAAAAGCCGATCCACATTGTTTAAATTTCTTATGCAATTTGGGGAAAGTGGAAAATGGAAAAGAAGCCAGTGTTCACATTCAGTTGGAAGGGCGGCCATCTATCTTAGAAATGGTAAGTCTAATATTCAGCAGCAACTTTGTGGGTAAGTTCATATAGAATCTGCAAACTATATAAATAGGATAGTATATAGGGAAGCATTCAAATTAAGAAGTTATTAATTAAAATAAAATTTAGAGTGAAACTTAAACAGTTTCAATTATTACTTTAGTTGAATACATTGTCCAAATGACATGGTTTTAGTAATTAAGATGTTTATTTTAGGAAGCATTTTCAACTGCTTATAGACCTCAATTAAGTCAAAGAAATTGGCTACCTTAATATTTTGTATAGCCTTAAAGTTCTTTCTAAACTATTTTAAAGTATGCTTAAAATCTAATACTTAATAAAGCTAAAAAGTAAAATTGTCTTTAAAACACAAATACACAATAACAAAAGAACTTTTAAGAAAATGAACTTGGAAAGGTTGAATTAAAAAAAATAATTTTAAAGACCTCTTTAAGAATCTCATCTTCCCCATTGAATGCACATATAAAACAAAACAAAACAAAGCAAAAAAACCACCTCAATTTTGCATACAATTTCAAAAGTCCTTAGCACTTGTGGATTCTGGGTTATAAAGTCTCTGTATTAGACAGTAAAGCTCTGAGTTCATTTATTGATTTTATATTTGAATGCTGTAACTTATTTGTACCAGATTTTTCCATTATAGTATTAGGTATACTATATGTATTTGATCAAAGCAGCAAGATGACAACACTACTTAGAAAGAAATAAAAAGAAGCCCAAATAAAATTAATTTTAGGAAAGATTTATTATGTGAAAAAAGTCTTATTTAGTGGTAAAAATTCAATACCCAGGGAAAAATACACTAGAAACTAAGAAATAATATTTACATCAAGTTATCTACAAAGTAGTGATGTTTAATAAAAGAATTTTGACAAAATGGTGCCATATAAATTAATACCAAGACCATGCCTTTAGAGCCAAAGGAAGTGTTGCAATTACTTACAAATGGTGAAGTAAATTGGGGACGATTAATTATGAAAACTTCTCGATAGTAGGTAAGGATCATGAGAAATAAGTTCTGTTAATATGTCTTCATGAAATAAAACTATGAATCAATCTACAGTGATCTTTCATTTATTCAACAGGATGACACTTCAGCACTCAGTTTTGAAATAAGGGCAACAGCTTTTCCAGAGCCACATCCAAAAGTTATTGAAGTAAACAAGGATGTCAATGTTGGACATGTAAGATTACCTTTCTAAACTGAAACATTACGACTGTAGGACAAATAGTATTGCTGGGGCGTTTAGTAAGAAAAATAGATTTTGACTAGATCGTGGAGGACTTGGAATACTTGACTGAGAGTTGGTATTTTCCACAACTGGAAAGAGGGGATGACAGCTTTTTAAGGAGTTGAATATGGTAGGATGGATTGGAGGAAGAACCACAGAAAGCAGCCTTACTATTTCTGCTAATCAGTTACCAATGTTTCCTATGGTTATGTTCGAACCAGCAAGAGGATGGGATGGGATGGGTTGTTCTAACTACTGTTGGGGATTGTGGAGGGACTGCACAGGAAATAGGAGCAATATTTTAAACTGGTGGTTCTTTATTTCGGTTAATTTATATAGGTTTGGCTCGAAGGACTACATCATCAAATACCCAAACGTCATTTGACTATAGCAATTATTTCAAGTAGCTTGATACTTGGACTTGCTTTACTTTTATTGATTTCATGTGTTATGTGGAAGGTAAGCCTTTCTTTAATAATTGCCAATGTTAAACCACTCAAAATGCCATCCTTGACTTTCTTAAAGCCAATTTGTGCCCCCCCCCCAAGTGAATATATAGTACTGATTTCATCATACTTCTCTCCTAACTTCAATACCAAAGTCCTTCTAGAAAAATATGCCTTTGAGAAACACTGCACATTATGTCAAATGTCAATTTTAAAGAGTTTACACATGCAGCACTCAGTCCTGCAGCAACGGGTGGGGGGGCTCTTTAACCCCATATTTTCCAACTAATTTTTACTCATTACATGGGACACGGTTTAAGAAATATAGCTGGTCCTCAAATGTCATTTCATTCAACTTTGCTTTGTTCTAAGGTTAGGAACTTAACTGTTGTTTATATCAATCAGCTTATGATAAAATTGGTTTTGTTACACATTGTTTTACTTAAAGTCATAGAAACTATGAACAACATTAAGTTTTCATTGACTGTTTAGATATTTTATATGACTGTAATAACTACACACTAGTGATTATACAATGACTTTTTCAGGCTGGCTTCTTTAAAAGACAGTACAAATCCATCCTACAGGAAGAAAACAGAAGAGACAGTTGGAATTACGTTAACAGTAAAAGCAATGACGATGATTAAAGACTTCTTTCAAATTGAGAGAACTAAGACTCAGGTATATAATAAAGATTTAAAACATTGTTTACAAGAACCCATGAACTTGGCTTTGCCCAGAGTTTTTCATATACTTCTTTTACTCATTACCTTGTGACATATTATGTCTTAAGGCAAATGAAAAATCCACACACTGACATTCTTTAAGACAATATAAAACTGAAAGGTGATAATATATCCAAATGTATTCTTTCAGTTCTTAAATGTATAGAAAACACTAAAACACTCAATTTATTCAAGATATGTAATCCCTGGAACATCTTTGAGACTTGTTTGAAATATGTTCTTTAAAAATATTTAGCAGAATTATTTTCAAAGAGCTGTTTCCAAATTTCCTAATGAATAAAAGACCATTGTCATTGTCAAGCATATTTTACCTTTAAGACCTTTACTTGTAATATATTTCCTATGGGCTTTGATCAACAACCATTCAGCAGTCTATGATTATTATGGGCCTGAAGAGCAAACTTCAAACTGAACTTATATACACTGGTTTGAGCTTAATGGGATGACTTCTGGGTAAATATTGTTTTTACAGCTATGGATTTCTTCTTTCTGTATATACCTAACTTTAAAATATATATATATATGTTCATATAGGTATAAATCCATGATATGAATCCTCTCCTGTAACATAATTTTTTCAAGGGTATCGGAGTAAATTTTAAAAATCCATTATTAGTCAAATTTTTTGTTTACAAAACAACAGTACTTAAGAATTTGCATTTATATTCTGAAGCAGATTGTGAATGTTGCACTTTAGCTGGTATTTGAAGTATAAATACACTGATCTATGTAAAATATGCAAACTGTACCTCACAAATAATTTTTAAAAATCAAAGCTCTGCAAAAACAATGATTAGGGGACAGTATTTCATGCTGATACTCTGTAAAATAGTAACTGGATGTTACTCTTTTCTATTGAAATGTAAATGTTAAACATCCTTCCATCAGGTCTATAAGAGCAATCTCTTCTGCATGGAAATGGGGAAACAAATTTCAGAAATTTAACTATATAAATTTAAAAATACAGATTTAGCTTATATCCAGTGAATATACATTTTTTATTGGTTGTCTTGATTCTTTTTTATATAATGAAATAGTTTCTGGATTTTAAATAATTTATCTTTTAATGCCTTTACATTTACAACTATAAACTTTTTATAATATTTATTCATGCATATGAACTAGATGCTGATTGTAGAATATAATTTCATCTGAGCTGGGCTAAATCTATCTTTATATGTATAAGAAGACTGTGGCCAAATTTTGAAAATCTGTTAAGGATGTGATCAAATAGATAAATTAGAATAGATAAATATTTCTTTATAGGAAGTCCCTGCCAACAGCTGTCTTCTGCAGACTGCCTAATTCCTCTAAGTTATCCATCACAGGCCTGCAGTCTGTGATTGGTGGAGAGTGAGAGATACGTGGAGATTTGTGAAACCCAATCTCTATGAGCACGAAACCTCCTGAACTCTGTGTGCCAATAGAATTTAATTCCATTTATAATATTTGAAAGTTTTTTTGTGTTTTTTTTAGCAGAAGCTATTTTTGGTTTTTCATTATAAAAAGCCAAGTAGTTCAGGAGAATGTCTAGACTCATTGGTGGAAAATCAAACCCAAATTTAGAATTTCTTTCTCAAGGGTGATCCCTGAGGGAATTTAAATTTGGTTCTTTCCTATTCAGAAATAATACATTTCAGGTATTACTGAAAACAATGTGTTATAATTGCCAGAAAACATGACTTTCAGGAGCAAGTGGAACAGCTCCCTGTTGGGCCAGATTCTGCCCAGTTAGATATTTTGCAGAGTTTAAAATAAATTTTGTTATAAACTTTAATATTATCTGTATTATGAATTTTAAAACCCTACCACTTTAAAGTAAGACATCAACTCAACTGAGTTTCGACTTTCAGAGACTATTCACAAAATTGGTACCATAACAACTTAGAAAAAAAAAGAGGGGTTCTTTTTTTGACAGGTAGTCTAGGTATTGGAGAAATTTTGAAAAGTAATAGTTCTATTTCTGGTTAGATCTAGTTTTGTAATTTTAACTTGAACCTCCCTGGACTAGGTACCTCATTAGGAAAATCAGGGCATTCTTATTTGAACTCTGTGGTCTGTTTGTACCAAGCTATATAGCATATTTGACATCATAATTGATGGACACAAACCCTGAAAAATGAAAGAATTTAAATTATTTCACTTAGGAATTATCTAGGTTAAATATAGATATAGCATCATGTCTAAATCTAAAGTATATAAAATGTTTACCAGAATTTAAAGTTTTTGGTATATTTAATATCTTGGTTCTTTAAAGACCTCAAAGATAATTTTTAGCAACATCAAAAATAGCAAGCAATTAAAAAATCAGATTTTTTTTCCTGTTAGGATATGTGTTTAAAACATGTCCCTTCGTATTAAAATTTCAGTTCATACGTTTCTGTTATATACAACTACATGTTACTTTGGAATCATTCATTTCTTCCATGCTTTCTCCATAAAGATTGATAAGTCTTGGGTGCAATCTGTAAAAAATAAAATAATATATATAATTGATCAGCCTATCATTCTGTTACTTTTCACACATACACCCATTGGGTATGGTGCTTAATACCGAATACAAATCTAATGATAGCCAACAGAAACATACACATTCATGGCAGGGTGTCTGATAAATCAGCATTGGATATTACTATAAAGCCTTCTTAACTGATTCCCTTGACTGACTAAAGTTCTCCATTGCTTCTATAAAATGCAGCCAACTGTACCTATAGAAAGTTTACATCCAGTAGGCTACCCAGGGCATCTCTGCACACCACCTGTTGAGTCATAAAGCTCATAAGAATGATTTTGCATGTTCCTAAACATGTCTGCACCAGTTGCTCTTGTTACTTAATTGATATGTAAAATTGTTCCTATGTAAATTAGGTTAAATGCTTTGGAAAGACTTGATAAATGCAAACTACTGAATACAAAGTGTTATAGTATTAATTACTGGTGAAAGGAAATTTAAAAGACTAGTGGATTAAATTGTAATAATCTGCTACTTAGATGGCATCACAAGGTTTAAACTTTTGACCCATTTTTTACAAATTCAAAATGGCAATTGTACACATGTATTATCTGTATAGTTTATTAAGAATAATTCAGAATGCCAGTGTAGACATAACCAAAGAAAATGCATTAATTCTCCGTAGCAACTGATGAATAAGTGTAAAGTCATACTTTGTTAAAAATTGTACATTAATCTGATTTGCTAATGTAAAAAAATATACCTAGCCAACTGCTTCCTCTGATAGTTACAGGAAGAAGGCTTCCACTATACTATTAGTTTTGTGTCGACGGGTGGACATAAAGCAGTGAAATACTTAGACTTACTTAACGTGGACTTCTGATGTAACTTCCATTAAGTCACCATCCACATTCCAAGGGAAAATGTCCTCTGAAGCAGCTTCATGCAGCCGATCCTCTGCCTCCAGACTGCGTGCACTGGTTTTATTCCTTGGATCCACTTTTACTTCTTCAACAGTGTAAGTCTCGACAAATGGAAAACTGAACTAAATAAAACAAATGGACCTGAATGGACACTTCTCCAAAGAAGACATGCAGATGGTCAAGAGACGTGTGAAAAAATGCTCAAAGTCGCTAATCACCAGAGAGATGCAAATTAAAATAAGAATGCAGTACCACCTCACACCCATCAGAATGGCTCCCACCAATAATCAGCATGCAAGTGCTGACAAGAACATGGAGAAAGGGGACCCTGGTGCACTGCTGGTGGGACTGCAGGCTCAGACAGCCACCGTGGGAAACAGTATGGAGGTTCCTCAAAAAATTAAAAGTGGATCTGCTGTTTGACTCAGCAACCCCACTTCTGGGAATATAGCCTAAGAATCCTGAAACAGCAATCAGAAAGAATACATGCACCCCGATGTTCATGGCAGCGCAGTTTACAATAGCTAAGATCTGGAAACAGCCCAAGTGCCCATCAGTAGATGAGTGGACAAAAAAGCTGTGGGACATTTACACCATGGAATACTATGCAGCTGTAAAGAAGAAGGTGCTCATACTCTTTGGAGTGGATGGACCTGGAGAGTATTATACTAAGTGAAATAAGCCAGGCAGAGAAAGACAAACATCACATGATCTCACTTATATGTGGAATCTAACAAAATAAACTGATGAACAAACTAACAGATCTCAGTGGGGGGTGGGGGAACAGGAAGAGATTCACCAAAGAACATACATGCATAACCCATGGACACAGACAACAGCATGGGGATGGCCTGGGGTGGGGCCGGGGTGAGGGAAAGGGGGGCAAAGAGGGGGTATTACAGATGTCTCCCATTTTCTGTCAAAATAAAAATAATGCAAATAATCATGGTACTTCCTTTATCTTTAACTGCTAATGCACACTAAGAAAGTTCACTGTGTTCTCTCTTGCACATAAATATCAACATACATGCTTTGAAACTCAAATTATGACCAGGGATCCCCAATTTCTCTGGAAGAAAAGACCCTTCTGAAGCTTTCCTACCTCATTTAGATCTAGCAGCTGGCAAACTTGTTTTATGACAATAGTAAATGTCTATGAAATTGTATACAGTAATGATATTGTAGAATTTCCAATGAAAGACACTCTTTAATATTCATCTGTTGATACAGAAGATTTATATAATCCACTGACTTGATTATTAACTTGTCAACTAGTTTAGCTGATATAAAGTAAACTCTAGTGTAAGCTTCACACTTGGAATTTAATTAAGAAAAACCTAGGTCTAAACTTATAAAGGCAAAAAAAAAAAAAATTCAATCAAACGTTTCACAGGTGTTTGCCTGCCTTGTCCTCACTTTAAAGGTGGACACAAGTCGCAAGATAATTGTGTTTGCTTATTGCCCACTCTAGAATGGTGCAAAGTAACCTTCAAATTTTAATTTGTCTTATTTGCCTAAGGAAACTATAGTGAAAAAATATTATGTGTTTTCTGAAATATCTAAGAAAAAGTAACCTAGTAGCTTTAGCAGAATGCACAGTAACTACTCATTTTAGTTTTCAAATAAATGGTATGAGGTTTATTCATATTATCTACATGTTCGTATCTTTTTCCTTCCACGTATAAGCCTCAATGAAGCACAGAAATTTAAAAGTTGACAGAAAACTAAAGTTTTCCCAAACACCCTTATTTTATATACTATGTAGAAACCAAGGCCCAGCAGATTTTACAGTTTTACAGGAGGTGTAATGAGAAGACAGAGGCTGCAAACAAATCCCTGGAGAAACACTAACATTTAAGGGTTTTAAACTTCCTATGAAAAATGATGGTCAATGTGAATGTAGAAATGTATGGACAGTGAAAACAGAGCGGACAGTGCACAGAGGTGGGGGAGGCGAGATGAGTCACACCGCAAATGATGGTTTTCAGTATGCCCTACAATTGTTGATATAAATGAACATTCAGTTCAACCTGCTAAGGATGGTTCACTAATTCTCATTCTGAACAATATCCCTAGTAGTATGTAATTTTATCATTAATTTACTTCATATTTCAATATAACACTAAATTTTCTATTTTCTCTTTGAACGAAAACCCAATCAAACAAAACAAAACAAATACATATATACATAAAACCACCAAGCCATAGCTCAAAGAAGGCCAACCTGTATTAGTACTGGTGGATGCTTTTCCAAATTTGGAGGAAGCACAGGTTGGAAAAAAGTATATTCAGAAGAAAATAAAGCCTTCTTATGAGGTAGGACATGATGTCAATCATGCAGCATATCTCTGTCCATGATTAATAGCTTTGCACATAAGTAAAAAAGGGATTACTATACCTGATTTTTAACACTGGCGTATCTTTTCAGGTGTTTTATAAATTCTGGTCGAGAAGTGTTCCGTGCAATTATAAGAGCCATACTTCCATTATTTAATCTGAAATTAAATATTTGTATTTGACATTGTTTATTAAGAGATTACACCAGAAATCGCTTTCTATTGATCCTTCTAACAAATATAATGTTTACTAGAAGTTTTAGGCAAGAAAGATAAACCATCATATTAAATTTATTTAAAATTCTTAAATCATATTTTGCTGTTATATCTGCACTGAAATTGGAAACCAGAATTAAATATAATATTCTCAACAACTGGTAAATAAACATAAATAAATAAAGTAGGCAAAGTGACATAACATAATAAAATCATGTCAATAAAACCCAAGGAATATTATTTTATCCTCAGTGATATTATAAAATCAGAGTTACTGACTGGTCGTTTTTCCAGTTTAACAGCTGTTGTGAACTTACTCTGATGACAAATTCCTTAAAATGTCTAATATTATACAGTCAAGGACAGAATACCTCTTCATAATATTCTAGCTAGCCAAGATTTGGGGGGGG